ATTCACAGGAAATAATCTGCTCAAAATTCATCCAAATCACAAATTTTGCACAAACTTCCTGCAGTTGTTGTGTTCACTGTTTGGGTTCACTTGTACAGTTTATCGGAAACACATTGGTTTATACGTACAATAGAAATATCTCTCTCTCTCTCTCTCTTCTCTCTCTCTCTCTATATATATATATATATATATATATATATATATATATATTAATAATAACATTTTATTTAAAAGCGCTTTTCAAATACTCAAAGACACTGTACAATAACAATATAAAAAGAATACAAAGAACATCAATTACAGCAGGTAAAACAATATAAAACAGTACATTACATACGTTAAAAACACATTAGACTGAGCTAGATTTTAAAAGCCATTTTATATATTATATATATAAAATATATATATATATATCTGCATGAGATACAATTCGTTCCCACATTTTGATTATTTTGTGCATATGACATTAGTGTATATCATAGACAGCACTACAGACCATCCCATCATAAAGTGCAGTGCATCAGTGCATGCTGTAGTGAGCTACCAAATGTTCCAACTACACTGACAATTAAGGACTAAACACTTATCTTGTGCATGCAATAGCAAACGCTTGATGTTGTAAAACATGACCTCAATATATATATGTTTCTCTCTATGGCCCCCTCAGGCCTCTGTAGTTTAGACCTCAAGCAGAAAAACATGAGCTCTGGTGCCTCTGATGCAGTTTGACAATAAAGTTAGTGTTTCTAATTTGCTGTAATCTGACTTGCTCATAGTTTGCTCACAGCAAGGAGTAATCAGAAGTATGTTTTAGGCTACAAACATTTTCTGTTTTCTACTAATTAACAAGTGCAAAATATGCTGAGAGCAGAGAGAGAGACGATTCATCCGGAGGCCCGGGGCAGAGAGGTGAACCGGTGTGTGGAGGGTGGGGTGCAGAGCATCCTTAAAAGGACCCTATTCAGTCATAAGGGAACGCTGACGCCATGTTCAACCCACCCTGTTGGGCAAATACACATTTACCGTAATTTTATTATTCCTATGAGTCAGCGCCTTACCCGATTCACCTCAGATGGTGCCACAGAAACACTGAGCTCACTGAGAGGCAGACAGAAGGTGAAAGGCGTGTTTGTAGTCTGTACCTGGAATATCTGGGCGGTGACTCTCCTGGAATGACGGAGGACGGAGGACTGACTGATCTCTGCTGCCTGTTAATTATATAACGCTCACACGCATAAACTTAACATCTTGAGGAAGCTGTGCTGCATGAAGCCATACAGTGAACCATTACAGGAGATAACCAAAGTGTTTTATTTGGCATTAATTGATGTGAGTACAGACAATCAGACATAGGACACGTGAATTCATTCTCCACCACTTTGGTTTCATAAAAACTTTAAAACTCAAAAGACATTGTTTGACATCTTTAATTATGTTTTATTTATCTATTTTATATCAGTTCCTTACATTAATCTGCCGCATGCAAAGAACCAGTGCTTTATCCTCAAATGTACGTGATGTTTGAATTTAAATTGACAACACGTACATGATATTTATTTCTTATTGTCAGCAACAAATTCTACTGAAAAAGACCAAACCAAGTGTTTACATATAGTTTCTGACTTCCTTACACTGTCTGTGGCTTTGAACTATAATAACAATTCAGAAATACATATTTTCATTTTTACCAGCTAGTGGGTGGAGTTACTAAAAAGGAAACTGTAAATTTGTTGGAGACTATTTTCTGCTTTGCTGCTCTGGTGATGGCAGCAGGACGGTGGTATGTGTGTGTTCTACATGAACGCTGTATTCGGCTCTAGTGGTCCCGTCACCACAATGAAAAAAGCTTTTATAGGACATACATGGTGCGTTCATGATAATGAAGGAACATGTCACCCAGTTCAACAGTGTGGATCACTGATGTGTTTTTAATAATTGCTTTTGACAAAAATGGACCTCTATGGCACAGAGTACGAAGATACACACACAATACTTTAAGTAAGATTGATTCACTGTTGGTTTTGGTCTGATATGTGATTTGTTGACAATAAGAAACAGAAGGAATGTTAACAGACATATTGTTAATAAAATGGGGCTATTCTCAGTCTTTGGTTTATCATGCAACAGGTGACAGTATGTCTGGAGGAGGCACAGCCTCCAAATACAGCAACAATGACACAAAACAAGTGCACATGAAATGAAAGCAGTCAAAGATAAAAATAGTAATTTCACACTGTAATGTTTACAGTGACGTTGTTTCCTCTGAGGTTATAAACATGAAATAGTTAACAGGTTCATTATACTGACACTTGTTCCACAGAAACACTATGCACTGCACAGCCTCCTGGAAGATGATGACAACTAAAACACACAGAAAACAAAAGAGTCAAACCAGGCAACATGACAGACTGCGGGGTAACAGGCAGTTCCCTTCATCCTCTACAGATTAAATATGAAAAATGGAGCTCGCAGAACTTTATTCACCCTGGCTGTGTGTTGGTGATGCTGCTGTAGTCTCATAAAAGTACTGAATCCATAACAATCTCTGGCTCAGTCCAGCAGAGGCTCTGTCACTGTGTGAAATCAATAAATAAAAGGTTGTGTATTCACATTGACCTAAAGTCTCTGCTTCAAACCAAGAAATAATACAAGATACTATAGCAGACAGGAAAGGAGATCTTTCTGACATAGAGATATCATGTCCAATAAAACCACTTTAGAGGTGTGAAATAACCCAACATCCTAAAATGTATACATTTATACTAAAATGTTTAAAATGTTGAACTATTCCTTTGGACAGTTCAGATTTAGAGTTGATTTACTAAGGACAGAAACCATAGGGAACTTCATGTGATTGATGTGAACTTTAAAAACACCAGAATATCCCTTTAACTTTGCCAAAGGAGCATCTCTCCTGCTGTGTGACACAAACATATGACTTATTGGTATCTTATACCACAAACCAACAACATCTACCAACAGATCTCCAGCAGACTACAGTGAACCAGACAGAGGCTAGCTTCTAAAAATGTAAAACAATATCCAAGCAATGATTTCACCAAACAAAATTATATTACAATACACACGAAAATAAACTCAGAGCAATAAAATTATTATATATAATTAAAATATATTAGGAGGGGCAGGGGATGGACAGACAAAAATCACATTACCATGTTGTAGCACCGCTCATGTGTAACCCTTCTAATCATCTTCACTAAAATGGAAAATGGACTTTTACGCGTGCCACAAATGTTCTTTTAAAACAATAAATTCCTCTTTTTCCTTTTTAGTGAAGCTTGCTGCTAGCTGCTGCACTCCTGATGCTCCTCTGCTGTATTCTTCTCCTGGCTTTCACTGCGGTGAGAGAAAACCACATCGAGAGTGAGTTAGTGTCAAACTAATAAAACATACCTGTCAGTGAGGGTTTTCTACAAACTAGTCCCACTCACCGTCAGTGCACTCCACCTGGGGTTTCTCCCACTGTCCGTCTGCTTTACAGCGAACCACTGGAGGGTGGCGCTGTGTAAACCCTGGGTTGCACTGATACCTGATGATAGAGTTGACCGGGTATTCCTCCCTCCTGTTCCCAAACATGTGGGTATTCTCCACCTCCGGCGGGGCACCACAGGACACTGAGGACGAAGCAGAGGCCACAGGGCATCCTATCAAACCATGTGTCCACTTACATGTGTAAGTATTTTAAGTAAATGGCTGTAACCACGGTTCAAGTTATGTGGGAACCAGTGGGAGTTGAAGGGGTCTGGGCTGCATTCTATGTAACGGCCAGCAGTGGGCAGCTCCAATAAAAAATCATACCTTATAGATACTTAAGGAGAAATGATCACTCTCGTTGTGATTCTGTGTATGAGGCGCTCAGTAAAGCGAGTTTCCTGATGGAGTTTTCTTGGTACTCAGTCGCTTAGTTTCTCAGTCTTGCGTTCCGGATACAGCAATGATTGTTCATTTTATAACGTGATGGTCCCATTTGTGAGTAAAACAGTACCATAAAGCAGGGTATGCTTAGGGCGCGGTTGTGAGTAAGAGCACAGCTCACTTCTCAGTGAGTCTTTCGCAGCTGAAACCGCACCAAACTCAGAATCATAAGACTGTCCAAGAACTGCAGGCATAATCAGATATGGATCCAAATTTTGTTACTACGTTGACTTTTTCTCTCCTCAAATTTGTTCACAACATATTTTACTGTTTATCTCGAATACCAGATCCTGTGTGACCAGGCGAGCCATCATTGTTTCCTGCTTCGGACGAGTGGAAACTGCAGGAGCCAATGAGAGCAGCTCAACTCGCAGTATGTCACTTCTGCTGGCTCCGACAAACCGTAATGGCGACAACCATAACGCCGAACTTAAGGCTTCACACAATTGGTTACTCAACAAACCAATGGGTGACGTCAGGATAAGTTCACACTTGCCTCCCGCTAGTGGAGCACCAATAGGGTAGCTGTGCCTAAAATAATAACACCTACTTTCATATGATACTAAAAAGGGTAGAAGTGTGTTCTCCCTTTGAGTGCTGGGATAATATAATAGGGAGTGAAAGAAGACCCTACATTATTGATACTTATCATGCAGCTCTGCAGCTTTATGGAGCTTTTTTGCCTCTTTTAGCTCTTTTATTTGGTTTGTACCTCATTTCACAGCTCATACCACGTTCATATTTTCAACCAGATCATAGGTCTGAACCTGAACCAACATACCTGGGCCTTTCTTGCAGGTAAATGGCAGGTGGTAGTTGCAGGGCACATCGTTCCACTGGCCGTTCTCATGCCAGATCATCACCACGCAGTCTTCTCCAGGCTTAAAGTAATCATCAGGCTGGTTCGGCCTCCAGTTCTCATATTGCTGAGGAAGAGGAGGATGCAGAAACATACTTTACTACAAGGTAAAGCCAGTGAAAAAGTAAGGGGGAACCACAACTTTTCATTTGAATCTCTTTAACTATTCATCATTCTGCACTGCGCACTGTGAGTAAGCAGGATTTTAGCTTTTTCATGTTGTTTTTCATTCTTCACACAACCTCTTTTGTCACTTTTCATGCACTGTAACTACTGCAACACTATGAGTACCTTTAAGGAGAGACTGTCCAAAAGTGTGCATCATTATTTGAATTATTATCACATCTCATCCCTCTCCATAAAGGCTGCCTTTTCTTTGAGTGTGGACATTTGGACTCTTTTGCCTTCAGGTGTGGTCACTCAACACTTTGTATAAAGTAGTTTGTTTCAGACACATCCTTAAGGCACAGACATTAGCTCTGAATGAATAGTCTACTTTCCAGAGTTGAAAATCCAATCTCATAGTATAAATCGATGTGTGCTTGATAAGCTTTCAAATTCAATACTTTATTACTCAAACTGAACATTCCTGAAGTACCTAAAGCAACCAGCTTCCACCGGCACAGCTGTGTTTTTTAAACACAGTGCAGTTTTCCATCCAAACACCTGGTAATGAAGTCAATTTTTTGTGCCTGCACCTGTGTGTTTTTTACTTTACATAAAACCCACTTGGGCTGAGGTGGGTGGAGTGGTGCAGCTGAGGTTGTGTTTATGCAGATCAGATGGTACAGTGCTATTTTGGTGCTTGTTTTGGCATGACATTGCATTTGAGTTTCACCTGCTCAGACACCCTCTTATCACAAGTGGAAACAGCTATTTACATTGCTTCAGTTGGCAGAGACGCACAGATTTCTCCAAAATCTGAAAGAAAACCTTTTCATGCATGTTGAACAAACGTTTATCTAATATGAAGTTAAATGCAAATAAACTATTGATGCAATTAAAGCATTTATTTAAAGCAGTTTGTATTGGGTTAGATTTATTGTTGATTTATAATGTATTTCCCATGAGGTGTCCATTATAAATCAGTTTTGTTTTGTACTTTTTGTCGTCATTTTGAGTCTCTGTATAGTCATTTTGTGTTTCGGTTTGTGGTCAATTTGGACGTCTTTGTAGTTGTTGTAAGTCTATTTGTGATTGTTTTGTGTGTCTCTCTCTATGATCATTTTGTGTCTGTCATTTTTTCCGTCTTTTGTGATAATTTTGCTTTTCTTTGTAGTTGTTTTAAGTCTCTTTGTGGTTGTTTTGAGTTTCTGTGTAGTCGCTTTTAGTCTCTGTGGTCATTTTGACTCTTTGTTTTGTGTCTCATTGTAGTCATTTTGGGTCTCTCTGTAGTCGTTTAGAGTCTCTTTGTGGTAGTTTTGTGTATTTTTCTTTATTGTTTAGCATCTTTTATGGTTGTTTTCTGTTGTTTTTTGTAATATTTACAGACTGTTTGTAGTCGTTTAGCATCTTTTGTGGTAATTTTGGGGCACTACACCATGCTGTACTGTAGTATACCCTGCCTATACATGAGCAAAACACCAGTGTAACATCCTCACTCACCAGTGGAGTGCCATCTGTCCAGTGGAAGTCATTTCTTACTGTCTTGTCATTCAACCCGATCCACTGGTAGTCCTGTGCGTTTGCTGTGGCAGAAAAAATAAAGTGTTGAGACTTTCTTTCTTTCTCTCTCTCTCTGTCTCCAGCTCTGGACACACACACACACACACACACACACACACACACTATGCACTCACAGTTGACAAAGTGTTGCTCCTCTGGGGTGATGATGCTGACCAGATGGGCGTTCAGGTCCCGGCAGCGCTGCTCTGCGTCCAGCCACATCTCTCTGTCAGAGAAGTGCAGGTAGCAGTTCCCCTGAAACTTAGTCCAACCGTCTTCACACTGCTGCTCATCTGCAGCAGCAACACCAAAGAGTCAGCACTCATTCAGTGTATGGCAATCTCAATTCACTTTCACCTAAACTTACATTTTGTAGAGATCTGAGATAAGATAAGACTCATGAATTAAATATTCTTCTTCATCCACAACTACAAATGGGTTGGAAAACTAAAGCACAGCATCTAATGATGAGAAGCCCTTCTGTATTCTTATCTATCTATTCTTATCTATATTCTGATATCTGTGTAGCATTAGTGTTTGAGCGGCTGAAAGAGTGCTTGATGTTGTTCACAACCCATGTAGTGTTTCACATATTCACTCAGTGTGGAGCTTATTTTGCCACTGTGATGCCCTCAGTCAGTCTGACATCCAGTGCAAATTTGATGATGGACAGTGTTTCCATCCTGACGTACAAAATAAACGTCAAAATACAGAATGGAAAATCACACATAAAGCTTCACTTCAGCTGGGAGAGCCCGGCCCAACACTAGTGTAATTGTAAATTTCCAACTTTTCCCTTTTACTGTAACATTTGAAGGCTTCATTCATTCTCTTGCTCCACCTTGATGACTTTATTTAAAGAGTCGGTTCACCACAATTTCATAAAAACATATTATTTTCCCACTTAATCCTAATGGTATACCATTAATATATTTAGCCATGCAGATAGCTTTTGATACAGTAAGCCTTTTACAACATGTCCTTCCAGAGACAATGTCCCTGCTCTGGATAATCCACAGACATGAGCATGCACTCAATGTCCACTAACTAACTTTTTCGATCCCCTTGCCCCGCTTAAGACCAGCATGTGCACTGTAAGTCAATAGGGACCACCGGAAGCATCCCAGTGAGACTCCCTTACGTACAGTAGTTGGGCTGTCGAGTCTAGTGAGAGTTTTCAGGTCTCAAGGAGGCAGCACTTAGCAACATTCAACACCCTAAGACTGAATCAACATCACAAACAGACAAACATCAGCAGTCTGTGAACACCAGACAAAAACTGGTCTCAACATCAACAGCAAACTTCAGTCAGTGATGTCCGGAGAACATTTTTACATTTGTCTTTAACTATCTTTGAACAAAAACAGGTGTTACAGCGTTTAGCACTCAGGTCACATTATGGGACCAGTTCCATTCACTGATGAGGAGCAGAGAGGCGGTTGCAAGTCCAGGGCTACTAACTTGATTTGACTAATTGGACCTTGAGTTAGGATTACTTGGTTCAGACAGAACACAAAGCGAATTTCAAAGGCAATTGCATACAAAGTAAATGGAAATACAAGATTAGATGCAAATTCTCCCAGGGCAGTGCAAACTGACAGTTTCTGGTGAGTTATGAGATCAGTTAGAGTCATTACTGCATTCAGTTTAATGCTGTTTGAAGCAAATAAACACAAAAGGTCCAGCGGTCAAATCTGCTGGAATGATGCACAATCATTTGCTTCACTTCCTATCTCAACACACCTCAAGAATTAAATTGGATTGTCTCTGGAAGTACTTAATATTAAATAATTTGCCCCTATGAACATTGTTTACAGTGTGTTAAGTGGTTTATTCTGGGTAGGATATGGTTCATGAAAAGACAACCTGCAGTTTTCATGTTCTTTACCCTCCTTAATTACTACTGCTGTGCCTGTGAGGCTTAGCGTTCTAACGAGGCACCTTAGTATTTTATATTGATAATAGTGGAAGATTTTGGAATAATGGGATCCCTTTCAGATGCATTAAATTGTACATGCATTGGGTATGTTGGTCCTGAACACATGGCTATTTCAAACCTAACCTGAAATCCCATATAAATAATGTTTTTACCTAATAATATACCTTGGTCTTGGATGTAAAGCTTGATTACTATAGAGAGCTAGTTAGGCTAGTAGGCCTGCTAACAGGAACAGACAAATAAATGTTTTAATCCATAGTCTGCACTTATGCTGCTGTTGTGTTTTGAAAAGGAAAATACTTACACCACAATCCAGATGCTTTCGTTACTGAGTATTGCTTTTAACCATGACTGTACAATCACTGTTTAAGAAGGGAGTTTAACAAAGGGTCAATTGTTAAGTGTTTAAAGCAGTAAAACACTGAACAATTACTGCATTAGATGCTACTTGTGGGAAGTGTAATATTTTTTATTGTTATTGTGGTGAACTGACCCTTTAGTTGCTTTCATGGCCTTTTGTCCTTTTAGGCAAACAGGGTCCCATAACAAACCGGGGACATCACAGCTGCATGTTGTGCACTCACTCACACGAGCCACAGCGAGTTATGATGCTATCGGCTGGTGATGTTTAGCATCTCTCTCTCTCTCTCTTTTCAGTTGTTTTTGAGAGGCTGTTGTTAGTATTTATTAGCTGAAGCTGATCTCATACCGATCTCACAGCGTTCCCCTCCGTAGCTGGGCAGGCATAAGCATTTGTAAGAGTCTGCACTCTCCACACAGGTGGCTCCATTGGCACAAGGGTTGGAATGGCACACATCTACCTCTGCAAAAAAGGTTGGCGGTTGACACTACTGTTTCAGCGTGGGGTGGGGATGGGAGGTTGGCCAGCAGGGTGAGGGATGTGAAGCTGTGATAGGAGGACTATCACACCTCAGGACTGAGTAGTTAGTAAACAATACTGTTGCTGCTGCAACTTCTGATCCAGATTAGACTTACTGTACAAAAATCATCACCTGTGTTCCTTTTTTTTGGATAAATCTTATTGTTTGAAGTATTTTAGGTTACCAAATTATGATAATATTTTGATATATATTTAGATATATACCAAATATGGGTTTATTTCTGCAAAGAGGACAACTAATAAGAATGATATCAGCAGTAAGTATAGGTTTGGATCTGTGGTTACTTGCAGCAGAAGATTAGTATGGATGAGAGCACTCATATGATGCCAGAAAGCACATACGTTGCCCGGATTTAGCATGCTTACAGCAGAGCGGAGGCAGTGTAGTGGCACAGCAGACCAAAAACAACATGTAGGCCGAAGACAGTTGTGATAGCACATGTGACACAGAGGCTCTACAACCTCAGAGCCGATACACATTTGACAAGCACCCTTCAAACTGCCATACAAACACAGAGACCCATAGCCAGACACAGACAAAATGAACATGAGGAAATCAACACAAAACATAGCAAAAACATGATGCAACACACATCAGAACAGAACGGCAGGGAGAGAAAAAAGATTTTTGGTAAGTCTAGTAATACTGATTCATAAACAGTAAACACAATCACAATCAGTTAAATAGTTATCTGAAAAAAAAACTGACAAGCTGATTAATAAACAGAATGCAGACCAACAATATAAAACATGCAAACTGCTCAACAACGAAACTATATTCAGTTTTTTTTTAGAAAAAGAAAGGAGAAAAGTAACAACTGGATCTTGCTGTCATTTTGTGACTTACCGTGGCAGAGAGCAACGCCATCCTCTGCTGTGCATGAAGCAGTACCACAGGGGTTGGGTTCACATGGGTTAAAACCACCTAGAAAAACAGGTAAAATTATTCAAACATGATTCCCCTTATAAATGACATTCACCAGTACTACTTTTAAAAGAGAGATATATTTCATCTAAACTGGAGTGGTAGAGTTTTTGCAAATGCTACAGTGCTACAACACCTGATTGCATCCTCCAAATTTAATCAAAATCCATTGTAAGAACAAGTGTTTTGTTTTATTGTACTGTCATATTTTAACTCTTGAACACTGCTGTAAGATAGGACTGTACGATATGATAAAAAAAAAGATCATATTGTAATTATTTTGAAAGATATTATGATTGCGATACAATTCACAGTTAGTGGGAATGATCAGCAGATCATCATAATCATGTTGATGTGACATTTTTTGGGGTCTGTACCAAACAAACATGTTTTCTTACACCATTTGTAGGCCAGGGCATCTGCAGCACTACAGTACTTGCAGCAATTTTGATGATTGACACGGGTGTCAGTGCATAAAATCATCAAAACTGTGAAATTAACTCAACACTGAGACGAAACTGACCTCTCTGCTAAAATTGATGTGTCAATCATGTTAAACCTGGTGAAGAAGCAATAAATAGTACCTTCACATGGCACATGAGTTTGTCTTGGTGTTTTTAAAGCACTTTTAACCTCTAGCCACTTTGCTCAATGATCAATTCACATTTAATCAGTTTTTCAAGCATTCCTTAATGAGTGAAGAGGCAATTGGGCAGAAGATATGGTTTAGCTGTTTGTGGTACAGGAATAATGGTTGGCTTTCTCATATTGGGGGGACTAGATGCACATCAGTGGACTGGAAAATTGAAGTAATTTGTTGGAAGCAGTGCTTTAGGACATGGTCCGAGATTCAGTTTGGTCCTTGGCTTTTATGGCGTCTTTCAACATGCTGCATTAGAATACAAATACCATCAGCTGTTTTCCCTTCCTTGTGCAGTTGTAGTGGGGAGATATTGTGTCACCAATTTCAAATCTGGCAAAAAAGGTAATACAGGATATTGGCCAGCAAGTTAAAGTACTGTATACTGTATGGAATTTATAGTTAATGGGTAAAGATAATTGCTAATTGAATAATTAGCTGATTTCTAAATTAATAGATTACTCAGTTGGTCTATAAAATGTCAAAAAATAGTGGAAAAAAAGCCCCGGAGCCTGAGGCGACACCTTCAAAATTGCTTCTTTCAATCTAAAACTATAAGATATCTAGCTTACTTTCACATAATGCTTACAAAACAAGCAAATAAACAAATCTGAGAAGTTGGAACCAGTAACTTTTTGGTATTTCTTCTTAGAAAATTACTACTTTTAAACTTTTTTTTATACTTTTAAATAAACTTTCAACTCATTTCAGCTCCAGTAGTAACCTCCTTTAAATGTTGTATCAAGAGGATACAAAATCCCTGTAAGTCTTGTAAGTAACACTGCTTTCCACCACACATCATACAGAATACCGGAAAACAAGGTGTCAAAAAGGTCATATTGTTTGGCAACCAATGACAAAAAATAAAAAATTGTCACATGAAAGAATAGGTTGACCTACCCTCCACTGAATCAATTTCTTCAATATTGCCTGGTGCCCACACAGAGGCTGCTGTAGCTGCAGTGGGAGGAGCAGCCAGTCCAGAGGGGGCAAGCACAGGGCCAAGAGTTCCATGGTTGTTACCAGGGGTCTGTGACAGTTCAGCCTCACTAAGGGCCTCAACTGGTCCTTTGGTGCTCTCTGTCAGTGCCCATTCACTCGGTGGAGAGGGCAACACCACCATGGAGAGTGGTAGATCTCCAGAGGGAGCTCCTGAGGAAGTGCCACTGGCTGTGAACAAGCGGTTGTCTCCGCTGCCAGAGTTGAAGCCACCACTACTGCTTCCTTCTCCGCTGTACTCCGCTGACCCCTGTCCGAGCTCCATAGACAGTTTGGAGTCCCCGGAAACCTCTGTCAAAAAATCCCCAGTCAAGAATGTAACACTACCTTCTTCTCCACTCGTTGAGGACTCAGATCCAGAGATTCCTGATCCAGACATTCCCGAACCAGACCCAGAGACGAAACTTGAGCTTCCAAATCCAGACAAATGTCCTCCACTTCCCTGTCCAGAGCTGTAGAGTAAAAACCCTGAGGCCTCCTGCTCTCCAGAGGATGATACAGTAAGTTCAGTGAACCCTGACCCCACAAAGGTCACGCCTGAGAAGAACCCATTGCCACTTCCAGAGGCCGAGCCACTGAGATCACCACTGAGAATCCCAGATCCTGAAATGTCTCCAGAGCCACTGAACGCCACATGGCCTCCACCAAGCTCATACTCCTTGTGGGTAATATGGGTGGACGCATCAATCAGTTCACCATCTATCAGTAAGATCTTGGCATCTCCACTTCCTGACTGTCCACTAGCACTTCCAGAGGAGAATCCTGATGGGAAACCACTGAACCCAGAAAAGTCCTGGCTGGTGATGAAACCGGACGAGATACCAGAGAACTGTCCACTTTCCCCAGAGCTGTCTATGGAAGAACCACTCTCCGTAGAGCTGAAACCAGATCCAGACAGGTCCCCACTACCACTGAGTACTCCAGAGCCTGCTTCAGGGAAGATAAGAATCCCTGTGCTTCCCTCTCCGGCTTCTTGGAGTTCACCTGAAACTGATCCCTCTCCAGAGACAATGCTGTCAGTGCCTGAAAAAACAACAGTGAAGCTGGATCCTTCTCCACTGAGAGCTGATCCAGAAGCATCTGTACTGCTGAAACCTGAAGCTCCACTGGGCAGCTCAGCACTCGCACTGCCGGCCAGGTCTCCAGAACCAGACAAGTCTCCAGAGATTACCATATCTCCAGAACCAGACAAATCTCCAGAACCAGATAAATCTCCAGAGATTACCCGATCTCCAGAACCAGACAGATCTCCAGAACCAGATAAGTCTCCAGAGATTACCCGATCTCCAGAACCAGACAGATCTCCAGAACCAGATAAGTCTCCAGAGGTTACCCGATCTCCAGAACCAGACAGATCTCCAGAACCAGATATGTCTCCAGAGCCAGATTCATTTCCAGAGGTGATCTGATCTCCAGAGGTGGCCTGATCTCCAGAGGTGACCTGATCTCCAGAGCCAGACAGATCTCCAGAAATTACCTGATCTCCAGAGCCAGACAGGTCTCCAGAACCAGGCAGGTCTTCAGAACCAGGCAGGTGTCCAGAGCCAGACAAGTCTCCAGAGTGACCCCCAGAGGCAGAGCCTGAACTGAAGTCTGCTGAGCCTGAGCCAGAGCCTGAAATCTCCACAGCGATGGGAGGGACGATGGAAGGACCAACTAAAGGGACATATAAAAAAAGAGTGAGGGACATGACAATAAAAGGGACATTTGCACAAGTAAGAAAGTAATTTGTTCATGATTTAAATATATCTTACCAGGCCTCAACAAGTCAGTAATTGATGTTAGGTTAAGGAGGGCCTCCTGGATATCTGTGATGTTCAGTCCAGTTTCATTTGCAATAAGTAGAAGGTCTGCTGTAAGAATTTAACAATAAGAAAAATAACAAATTGAAGGATAATGAAAATCAAATTTCAGAATAAGCCCATTAGATAACAGTAAAGCATTAACCTCTGAAACAGTATGCATCAAATCTGACATCAACTTCAGGGAAGCTTGTCTGGTTGGGGTGAGCGTACAGAGTGTGTACACCCGCTTTCCCAGCTCCACACTCTGTGCGGGGGTTGTTGATGGGATAGCGGACGCTACGATCCACTAGCCAGCCAGCACGGCACTTGTCAAAGCCCATTTTCCAGGCTGCGTAGAGCTCTCCGGTCGAGGCCAGTACAGCACTCTGCTCTTGACAGCTAGACGCAGCCTCGTCATAGGTGAGACCCTCAGCGGAGCCCACATGGAAAACCTCACCTGTGGAGCAGATAAGGAGGAGATGTCAAGATGATGAAAAAAAAAGAAAATTACTTTAAATAATATTTTTTATAGGCTAAACAGTGTTTTTCTTACCTTTGAGCCCATCAATGTAGCAGTACACATCATATTTCTCCTCTGCTGGCATCAAACCATAGGACCGAACTCCAGGTTGGTCCCCAAGATCTCCAGCACATTTATCTCGAGGGAAAACAATGGGATACCTAAAAAAGAGTGAACATGATGACGTATTGTTCTGGACAGGGACTTCTCTGCCTGCTTTAAAAATACATCCCAGATTTACCTTACAGTCTGGTCCAGTAACCATCCTGCATCACACTGGTGATATCCAGCCTCAAATGCTGCCTGCAGCTGCTGTGGCGTGGCAATGGAGGCCCCGACATTCTGGCAGGCTAGCTGGGCCTCAACAAACGTGAAGGCATAGCGGCCGGAGCCTGAGCGATAATGGAAGACCACACCTGCACAAAGAAACACAAGTAATGGTTATTATTACTTGACACACCTATGTGATGTTACAGTTATCATAGCATGCATCATCAGTTAAATCACTGACCAGTTGGGGGCATCACAAAGTCTTTGCCAGGCTCCCTGGCTGTGTCGGGCCGAGCGGTAACTGCCTCTATCAGGTCAGTGATGATCTCAGTGACGTTTGGCGGCTGAGGCAGAGGCAGCTCAGTAGGGCTCTCTGTGAAGTCCACAACGGTAGGCTGCTGAGTCTCCACCTCTCCAACCGCCTCGCTCTCTGTGGTCGTCCTCCTGAAGAACACCTCTGGGCTCTGTGTCACTGTGGTAACACTCAGCACACCACTTCCCTCTTCTATAAAGCCGGAGCCTTCCTCTTCAGGGGACTCTGGAGGTGATTGAGGAGAGAGATTTGTAAGACAATGTTAAAACTTTCCCATCAACTAGTATTGATTTCTTACTAGCACTCCAATCATGTAAAATGTGCAACTTCACAATATTTAAACCTGCACAAATTGATTTTGGCCACTTTGGCGCAGTGGAAGTAACTGTAACCAAATAAAGAATATAAAGTTGAACATCTTATTCAAACATCCAGTACAGTAAACATGGAGCAACTTAAGCATTCATTTGAAGTTGTATGTCTGGCCATCTGAAGTCAAACATTCACTTTCCTTTTAGTTGCTTTTGGCCTCTACCAACTCCTGTGGGAAATATCTGGCTCT